TTGTTCTTAGAAAGTGTGAGGTACTTTCTTTTGGGATCCCACTTAGGTGCCAGGTTCCCAAAGCCAAGTCCTCTTCTGTTGCTACTATGGTGTTCTTGTTGCCATGAAAGTACATCGGAGGACCTGTTCCATTTATAAGTTTTGTCTAGCTCATGCATGACCTTGCTTAGATCTCCTTTAGGATTCTTACCTGCTCATCCCTTTTATACAACTCATCTTTTATTTTTCCTACATTTTCTTCTAGAGTGAGTTGTATGTGATCAACTGTCTTTTTACTTGTTCCTAATTTCAGTTTTAGATTTTTAGATCTAAGCTCTAGGATAGTTGAGTCAAGTGCATGAACCTGGTTCTTCAACACAATATTTTCACTTATAGTTTCACTAACCCTAAGTTCCAGGTTTTTGCACTTAGCCTTCAAAATCACACATTCTTTAGACAACTGTTCCTTTTCATTGTTTACATCCTCAGATTCATCAATTAGTTCTAGAAGTAACTCAGATAACCTTTCTTTAGACAACAATTTAATCTTGTGTTTGAGATGAATTACACTTACCTCAGTTTCTTCATCAGATTCCCCAATAGCCATAAGTGCTTGTTCATCCTCATCCTCATCATATGAGCTTTCATCTGAGCTTTCTCCCCAAGCAGCGACCATATCCTTGGTTGATCCTTTGTTGTTGCTTTTCTTGGGTTGAACCTGTTCCTTCTTCCTATTCCTTCGGTCAGCTCTTTCCTTCTTCCATTTAATTTTCCATAGAAGACAATTCTTGATGTGGCGATCAGTCTTTCCACTCTTGTAGCAACCATCATTGGTTTGCTTCCCAAGAGTTTTTGACTTGCTATAGTTTCCACTTCTTGAAGAGCCTTTTCCTCTCCTCAGGTACTTCTTGAAGTCCTTGGTGATCATAGCCATTTCATCATCTTCTAGATCAGAACCTTCAGCGATTCAGAGTGCCAAGTTCCTTTCCTTCTTAGGTACATCAATTTTCATGGGTTGTCTCCTAAGTTCATATGCAGTGAGATTTTCAATTAATTCATCCAGTGGGAGAGTGACAATATTCTTTGATTCCTGAATGGCAGTGATTTTGCTCTCCCAAGTGATAGGCAAAACCCTAGTCAGTATCTTCTTAACTCTATCTTCTTCAGGAATAATCCTTCCAAGAGACTTTAGTTCATTTGTCAGTGTAGTGAACCTTGTGTACATCTCCTGAATGGTTTCTCCTTCCTTCATAGCAAAGTTCTCTTATTAAGAATACAGTAGAGTTCCTCTAGATCTCTTCACTTGAGGTGTTCCTTCATGAGGCACTTGCAGTGTGTCCCAAGTTTGCTTAGTAGTTGTACAGCTTTGGATTCTGCTATACTCATCTGGACCAAGTCCACAAATAATCCATTTCTTGGCTTTAACATTCTTCTCCCATTTCTTCAAGTCCTCAGCAGTGCAATCTGCTATTGTCTTTGGCACCTCTATTCCTTCAGCATTTATCTTCAAGATATCCAGTGGACCATCAGTGACAATGTCCCATAGCTCATAGTTCTTTCCTATAATGTGATCTCTCATCCTGTTTTTCCACCAAGAGTAGTATTGGCCGTTAAAGAGTGGTGGCCTTGCAGTGGATTGCCCTTCCCAGTTTTCAGGTGGTGCACTCATGTTGATCTTCTCCTAAGATGGAAGCCTCTTCAAGGAGAACCCGCTCTGATACCAATTGATCTTTTATACTTCAATGCCACACAAGAGGGGGTGATTTGTGTGGTGTCCAATTTTCGCGTGCACTGGTTATATAAGGACCTAGTTCTTCTATGTGTTCCTTATACTACTGTTGCGAAAATAGTAAATGCGGAAAGTAAAGAACACAATTAGTTTTACGTGAAAAACACCCGGTTCAAAAGGTAAAAAAAACCACAACCTACTACTCAGTAGGAGTTTCCCCAACATTTCACTAAATCAGTGAGTCAAAACAGCATTTATAAAGCTCTTTGTAAACCTAAGGATTATCTCTAATACCTTTGTAGCAACCAACCTCTAACAGTTGCGACAATTTCAAGTTAACTCTAACTTGAATACTTAGAGTACCTAATATAATTGCCTCTAGATAAAGCTGAAAGGCACAATTTGAAAATACCTACTATAATGAATCTAGAATAAAAGACAGACACTTGGAACTGGTTCTTCTATTTGGTTCATGTAGCTTCAGATTCGCACACTTGATCACGCAAGAATTTCTTGCAATATGCCTTGCTATTTTGCTCTCAACTCAAGTTTAATTTCAGCGTTTGTGCGTACCTGTAGAATGAGAACATCCTGCAATGTATAGAGTTAGTAGAATAAGAAATAACTAGAATTCTAATGCTATACTCTTCCTTGGTAGAAGAGTTCTAGTTATCTTCAACTTCTAACTCCTCCCTTATCTTGGATAAAGTTCTCTTCGAGTAAGGAGTCCTTCTCCTTATTATTTATGCAACCTTTTCGATCAGGAGATATCAGATATAACAACTTGAGCTTATCTCCTTCATGTGCATCCTTTATGCTCGAATCTGCCCGTGTTTGTGTACACTGTGTATGGACCTGGTTCATGCTTGAGTTCCTTTGTCAATCATCAAAAAAAATTCACTTGGGCCAACATTTAGCAAACCTACGCTATCCATGACAGGAAAGGGAGTAAGCATCCTATCCAAGAAGGCAGTCATGGCACAAATGAACTTAACTCAAGGATGAGGTTAAGGAAAATTGAGAGGAACTCAAGCAATTACAGTTGCCGAACCAAGCAAGATAGTAGAAGAGGTGGCAAGTGGAGAAACTAATGGGGAAAACTTTGTTCCATTGATTTCAACTGTGGAATTGCAGTCTCCAGGTGAAGATCAGAAGTGAAGAAGTTGTCATGGGCAGAAGAAGTAGAAAACAATCTAGATCCGGTGAATTTCGACATAACGAAGGTCTCAAATGCAGGTTTCAACCTGGATTTTGTTGAACCAAAGATGCATGGTGAAACACCGGTATGTGAAATAGAGATTGATGATATTAGTACTGAAATTCTGTATTGGAAAACTACAGTATACTATATGATAGGGGCTCGCCCACCATTTGCTGTAACTAATGATTTTATACAAAGGCGGTGGGCTAAACATGGAATCAATAAGATAACTATGCTGAAAAATGGGATTGTTCTTGTGCTATTTGACTCTGAGAAGGGGAAGAATGAGGTGCTACAAAGGGGTATATACCACTTTAAAAATAAACCTTTTATTGTCAAAGCATGGAATGCTGACATGGAGTTTACTAGGGAGGAATTGCAAACAATTCCTATATGGGTTAAGTTGCCAAGACTTGGTTTTAAATATTGGAGCCCTAAGGGGCTTAGCAAGATTGAGAGTTTGATTGGGAAGCCATTGATGATGGATAAGCAAACTGAGAAGAAATTAGGACTGAACTTTGCTCGCTTACTTTTGAAGTAGATATTGATACACCACTGCCAGATAAAATTGTGTTTCAAAATAAAAGGGGATATTTGGTGGAACAAAGGGTGCAATATAACTGGCAACTCATACTCTGTAAGTGTTGCAAAAAATATGGGCACAAGGAGGAGGAGTGCAGGAAGAAGCAATCTCAACCTAGGTCACCAAAGCAGGTGGAGAAATAGGAGGAAACGTGTCACATGGTAGAAAGTAAGGGCAAGGAAAGGGTGGAGGATAAGGGAACCAAAGAAAATCAATTAACAAAGAAAGTCTAGCAAGACAAAGGAAATACCAAGCCAAAATAGGTGCTAACAACTAAAGCTAAGACACATGGGCAGGGGTAGAAGACAACACAACAAGTAGGCTGGGTTACTCCATTGAACAATCAGAGACAAAGCTCCAGGAAAGTGTAAGATAGGAATCCATTTCAGGTGCTTACTAAAGATGGAGTGGATGGATAACATCGGGATAAGCATAGCAGGAATGAAGGGAATACTCAAATAACTCCTTCAGGTAATGGATAAGATATTAAGCTGGAACATTAGGGGCCTTAATGGTCCTAATAAGCAAAAGGATGTAAATATCCTTTGCAATTCTGAGAAAATAGGACTCCTTAGTCTACTTGAAACTAAGGTTAAAGCAAATAAAGTTGAAGCAGTAGCTAATAAAATATTTCTTGGATGGAAGTGGCTCACTAACTTGCAGCATCATTATAATGGAAGAATTTTGATAGTGCGGAGACCTGACTACTTCAAAGTGGACCAAGCGAGCAGTAATGCTCAAGCCATCACTTGTAGAGTACAACATATTACACTGAAGCTGAGCTATATGGTAACAATAGTGTATGCCTATAACACTAGAGAGGAAAGGAGAGAGTTGTTGAACTACTTGGAAGTTGCTAAGCAAGGTATCAATAAACCATGGATAATAATGAGAGATTTTAACTCAATTCTAAATATAAATGATAGGGTTGGGGGAATCAAGTGACAGTAAATGAAGTGGTGGAGTTCCAACAATGTGTGGATGTATATGGGTTAGTAGAAATATCACCCAAAGGAAGTAAATATACATGGATTGATAGGCATGGCAGTAATATGGTTTTCTCTAAAATTGATTGGGTATTTATGAATGATGAGTGGTTGCATCAAATGTCTGACTTTGTAGCTGTTTACCTCCCAGAATGGATTAGTGACCACTGCCTAGTGAAGATTGAACGGATAAGAAATGAAATACATGCTAACAGACCTTTCAAGTATTGTAATGCATGGAAAAACTACCCAGATTTCATGACCAGAGTAGTAGCAATCTGGCAAGTACAAGTTGAAGGGTGTATCATGTTGCAAGTGGTGAAGAAACTAAAGTTACTCAAACAAAGTTTAAAGGAGTTAAACTGGCAGCATTTCGAGAATATATTAGCTGAAGCTGCAGAGGACAAGAAGGCACTAGCTTTACCACAATTAGAATTACAAAGCAATCTAATGGACTAGGGACTACAATAACATGAGAGAATTAGTTTTCAAAGATATAAAAAATTATCATATCTAGCTGAAATGTTTCTTCAGCAAAGAAGCAAAGTAAACTGGTTCAAACTGGAAGATGACAACACAAAGTATTTCTATGCAGTTATTAAGCATAGGAAACTTCAGAAAGCAAATGTCCAATTGACAGATGAGGAGAATATAGTGCAAACAGAACCTGAAGCCATAATCAACATCTTTGTGAGGTTTTATAAAGATCTATTGGGGAGGAAGGAAAGGTGTAAAACCATGGCATTTACAAGTTTTTTGAGGAGTGGGCATACTTTATCAGTAGATCAACAATTGGAACTGGTAAGAGAGTATACAGGGAAGGAACTCAAGCATGTCATGTTTAGTATAGACATAAACAAAAGCCCAGATCTAGATGGCTATAGTAGTGATTTTTTCAAGAAAGCATGGAGTATAGTAGGGGAGGATGTGACTAAGGCAGTTCTATAAGTTTCCAAAAAAGGGAAACTGTTAAAACAGATAAACTCTTATATGATAACTTTGATTTCCAAGGTAGCAGAACCATAATTTGCAACCTAGTTTAGGCCCATCTCTTGCTGCAATGTGTTGTATAAGTGCATATCATTAAGATTAAAGAAGGCTCTAACTTACTTAATCTATGATAACCGGGTTGCTTTTGTAGAAGGGAGATCATTAGTGTACAATATCCTGATATGTCATGACCTCATGAGGCACTATAATAGGCAAACTTCTCCTAGGTGCCTCATGAAGATTGATCTTAAGAAAGCCTATGATATGGTCAGCTGAGATTTTATACATGAAGAACTGAAGGGATATGGCTTCCTTGAATCATTTACTCACTTGATCATGGAATGCATTACATCTACAAAGTTTTTTGTGAAAGTCAATGGGGAGGGCCATGGGTATTTTGAGGGGATGAAAGGATTAAAATAAGGAGATCCCATATCTCCATTGTTATTTATTCTTGTAATGGAGTATTTATCAAGATTGTTGAGGAAGATGAGTACACTGCCTGATTTTAAGTATCACCTTATGAGCAGAACACTCAAACTTACACACCTGGTATTTGCAGATGATCTTATGGTCTTTTGTAAATGAGACAAAAGATCAATATAAAGAGTAATGGAAGCATTAGAACATTTTAACAATGTGACAGGTATAGAAGCTAATACTGAGAAATCAAACATTTTTTGGTTGGGATGATTACTGAGATGCAGGAGGAAATACTAAGCATGACATGGTTTACCATTGGGACTTTGTCTATGAGATATTTTGGGTTGCCTCTATCATAAAAAAAAATGTGGAGTAAAATGCAGTGTCACTTGCTGGTGGATAAGATCACAAACACGATCACTAAGGCATATTCTAGGCTCTTATCTTATACTGGAAGATTGCAAGTGGTTAATGCAGTTTTATTCTTCATTTACAACTTCTGGGGAGCTGTTTTTATCCTGCCCCAAAGTATCCTCAAGGAGGTACACAAAAGGTGCAGAGATTACTTATGGGGCAATTCAGAGGAGCATAGAAAAGTAGCATTGGTAGCCTGAGAAAAGGTGTGTAAGCCAAAGAAGTTTGGTGGACTTAATATCAAGGGATGCAGGAAATGAAATGAAGCTTCAGTAGGAAAGCTACTGTGGCAATTGAATGACAAAAAAACCTGTTATGGGTGAAGTGGGTGCATGAGATTTATATAAAACAAGATGGAATAATACCACCACATGACAACAACTGATATTGGAGGAAACTAAATCCACTAAAAGGGAATATAGCACAACGGTATCAGAATGGTAGGTATAAACTAACATCTAATGAAGTGTATTATGTGACAAGGAGCTATAATGCATTGTTCACAGACTTAACAAGACTACATGAAGGTGACTTAATATGGACCAAGGCAATGTTACCAAGGCAAAGATTTATAGTATCATTTGTATACCAAGATAGACTACTTACTAAAGAGAGATTACAAAGATTGCATATACCATTTGATGATGACACCTGTCAACTATGTGACATAACAACAACAAAAACTCAAAAACATCCATTCAGGGAGTGTCAATGGATTACAACACTGATAAGTATGGATTTTGACAACTTATTAGCATCTTTTTACTTTTGTTTTAGTCCGAAAATATTGATTTATGTTCCCAAAACTAATGAAAGTGTGCAAATTGTAGGAATGTTGGAAGTTTGGGCTCTCATGATGAAATCCAACTCAAAAAGTAGTATTCCGACTCACAAGGAAAGAAGGGGCGCAAAACATAACATGTGTGGTCCGCAGAACAAAGTGCGGACCGCAGAATTCCCTCTGCGGCCATAGAAAAAGTGAAGAAGCCTAGCAGAGTTTTAGCTGATCTGTGGACCGCACATGATTTGTGCGGCCGCAGAACAAGGTCTGCACTGACAACTGATTCAAAGTTCAAAGAGTGTGCAAATGACCAAGACTTGAAGCCTAGCATGAAGTGCGGACCCACAAGAATTGTGCGACCGTAGAAGATGCTTTGCAGCCGCAAACCAGAATTGTGTGACTGTAGAATCCCAGACCCTGCTAGCTGAAGAAATCTGAGGACCGCACATGGAATTGTGCGGCCGTAGAACCTCATGAGGGGCATTTTTATCAGCAAATTTTGGGCCACTATAAATATACGAGAATCACATTTTTAGGTCAAGTTTCGAAGTTTGAGTTGCTGTAGCCGTTGAATTTTGCTATTTTAGGAAGTTTCTGACTATTTTAGGATTTAAACATCATATTTTATCATTTTAAACTTAGATTATGAGTTTAATTAGTATTTCTTCTTGTTTTTCTTCATTTTTACTATGAGTAGCTAGATTCTTACTAGGGTTGTGACCCAACCCTAGTGTGTAAACCTTATTAGTATTTAATTTAAAGTTTGTGTATGATTGAGTGTTGTTTATTTAGTCTAGTTTATGCTTTAATTTTAGAATTAATGATTGCAAATATTGATTCATGCCTTTTTGATTTGGTCTTTACTTAAGAAAGAGGGACCGGGTCTAGAATAACTTGGCTAACAAGGAATTGGGATAATTGAGGGTTTGATTAGCCTAATTAAAGAGTTCAAACTAGATATAGTGAGAACCCGACTTGAGTTCATATCAACTATTTAGTTTGATACCCATTTGAGCTTGAAAAGCCAAATTGGGCAAAATCACTCTATAGCCGAGAGATATTGAATGGGTAACGTAGAGTTGAGAGCTATAATACACCCCAATCAACATAAGAAGTGTTAACGTATTTGACCCATTAGGCGAACATCTACGTTAATGTCACATCCCTAGGTTTTTTAACTATTTGGAAAAACACCAAAAATAATCTTTCGGTTTCTAGTTTATTCTCTTAGCTTAATATCGGTAGAGTAAAATTAGAATTAGAAATCAAAACTCTGTGTTTGGAAGTGTAATCTAGTTGTTCCATTTACTTTCGTCAACTGTATACCCCTAACACACATATTAAACTCCTTGAGGAAATCGACCCCGATTCTTGTTGAGTACTATTCTTCCAACGACCGTTTCCACTCACTATTGAGTGCGGATTGGACGTGGATTAATTTTTGGTGCCGTTACCGGGGAGTTAAAAATGGTGTTAGCTATATATTTGGGTTTGTTTTTGGAATATCTTCTTTTCCTTCTGTGTTACTAACTTGTGTGTGAAATTTTAGGTACAATCATGGCGAACAATAAGCTTGAAAATTTTCCTTTGGTGGAATTAGACGGCGAGGAGGAGCAAGTAGAGGAGGTACCTCATGAGCCACAAGACAATCGAAGAGGCTGGGTACCTCATGACAATGTTCCAATTCCATCCCCACCTCCACCATGAGCGATTCCATACCGGATATTGCCCAACGAAGGTTATGTTAGTGCGATAGCCCCTCCCCGTATTAGGGTGAGCAACTTCCAAATCACCAATAAGATGATCACTTTGCTTGAGCAACGAGGTTTCTTTACTGGTGCTCCAACACAAAATGCTTACAAACATTTGAAGGGCTTAGTGGATACCTGTTGGGGGAGCAAGTAAACTAATGTCGCCGAGAATGCATTGAGGCTAAGGTTTTTTCCCTTCTCTCTACGGGGAAAAGCTTTAGATTGGTTGGAACGATTGCCGAACCATTCAATTCACACTTGGGATGAGTTGGAGGAAAATTTCATTGCTAAGTGTTTCTCTCTCAGGCACATGGCTACACTTCGAGATGAGATTTTAGCATTCAAGCAAGAGCCGAATGAACCGCTACACGAGATATGGGAGCGCTATAGAACAATGGTAAAGGAATTTACCAACAACAATATGATGGAAAATGTGATTCAACAAAACTTTTATCGTGGGATTAACACAACCAACCAATGTCTAGTGAATCAACTAGCCAGTGGGAACTTTATGAATACGCCTTATGCGGAGGCGTGTGAGATTTTGGATGAGATCGTGGAAACGTCGTCGGCTTGGGAATCCCCGACCAATATTCTATAAGGTGACCCGAATATGATCTACCTTCACAAATAATTGCAAGACCATAAGCGAGCCATCGCCGAATTGAAAATTACCATGATTCAACTAGAAAAAGCTCAACTAAACCAAGTTCAAGCTCCTAAGCAAGTCAATTATATGGAGGGAGTGAACATGATAGTGTACAAGAGGAGGACCAAGGGTCCACAAGTGCAAACTAGAGTGGAGAATTATGTGCAAGAAGATGGTGGTATTGAGCAAGATGATTCCTATAATGAACAAGAAGAGGAAGTGCAATATGTGAACAATTTTCAAGGGCAAAGAAACAACTTCCAAGGCCCAAGCCAACAACAATGGCAACCACAAAACAATCAAGGCAATTGGAATTCTAACAATCAAGGAAATTGGAGTGGAAAAACAATCAAGGGAATTGGCATAACAACAACAATTAAGGAAATTGGAGTGGAAACAACCAAGGAAATTGGGGAGGTAACAATCAAGGCGGATGGAGCAACAATCAAGGCAATCGGGGGTCGAGTTTTCAAAGGCCCCATGTACCAACAATTGAGAAACCACCTCCTTATCCTTCCCATGGTTCAAGTTCTTCAAACAATTAGATAAGGCGTATTGAAAGTATGTTCACCCAAATAATGGAAAAGAATGCCGATTTGGATACCCAACTTGCCTCACACAACACATCAATCCGCAACCTAGAAGTTCAAATGGGTCAAATATCTCAATCTATAAATACTCATCCTAAGGGGGCACTACCAAGTGACACGGTGGTAAACCCAAAGGGAGGTAACAATACGGGCATGCCATGGCGGTTATCACAAGAGGTGGAAGAGGCGGGAATGCACCCACCTTAAGTGAAAGGCAAATTGTTGTTGATGATTAAGTGATGCAAGAAGAAGAGGCCCTGAACAATGTTGTGCAACCTAATGAGGAAGTTCGGATTGATATTGAAAATAGTGTAGAAGAGACTCAAGAGAAGATGAACCCGTCTAGGGTA